TTGCTAGTGGTGGACTTGGGTTATTACAAAAGGGATCAGAGCCAGACACCAAACATTGTGTCAATGAAGACGTTGGACCTCCAAAAGGGTGGATTGTGAAATCGGGAAAACGAAACATTCCTTATAAGGGTATAGAAACTTTTTCTTACTAGACACGTTTTAAAATCGTGAGACTGACAGGAATACATAACGGGCTAAAGCGGACAATGTTTGTTAGTGGTAGGCTTGGGCTATTACAAATGGGATCAATGTAGACGCTAGACATTGTGTCAATGAAGACGTTGGACCCTCCAAAGAGGTGGATTGTGAGATCGAGAAAATGAAACATTCCTTGTAAGGGTATAGAAACTTTTCCTTACTAGACACATTTTAAAATCGTGAGGCTGACAGCAATACATAACGGGCTAAAGCGGACAATGTTTGCTAGTAGTGGACTTGGGTCATTACAAACAGGATTAGAGCCAGACACTAGACATTGTGCCAATGAAGACGTTGGACGACAAAAGGGTGGATTGTGAGATCAGAAAAACGAAACATTCCTTATAAGGGTATAGAAACCTCTCCTTACTAGACACGTTTTAAAATCGTGAAGCTGACAGCAATACATAACAGGCTAAAGTGGACAATATTTGCTAGTGATGGACTTGGGGCATTACAAATGGGATCAGAGTCAGACACCATACAATGTGTCAAGGAAGACATTGGACCCTTCAAAGGGGTGGATTGTGAGATCAAAAAAACGAAACGTTCCTTATAAGGGTATAGAAACCTCTCCTTACTGACATGTTTTAAAATTGTGAAGCTGACGATGATACGTAACAGGTCGAAGCGGATAATATCTGCTAGTAACGGACTTGACCGTTCAAAAAATATCTCAACTCAATCGGATCGAAACTTGAGGGGGACTGTGTGGGTGTGGAGGGACAAGTGTTTAAAGAGAATGGCGGTTGCTGGCTAAGTCAATGACAGAGAATAAAGTAGAGAAGAAAAGGAATAAAGAGAAGAGATGGGCATCAATTTACAACAACTTTAAATATAATGAGAATAACTTTGGTGCCAATTACGAGGCTGTTAAAACAACACAACATACCTACAAAAACATTGCTAATTACGAGACCTATCATATTCAAAAATTAACCCGAGTCATCCCGAGCATATCTATTAGTTAAGATATTGAACGTCACCAAATCGTTCGTCCTTCGAAAATGCTTTAAGCATCGAGGAACATGTACCATACTGTATGTACGGACTCATTCAAACCACAAACAGAGTTCAAGGGAAAATATACTAACAACAAATCTGTATCTATGATGTCGTACATTGGTTGAGGAGGAGAACAAACCACCATTTATAAGGGTGTGGAAACCTTTCCCTAGGAGACGCGTTTTAAAGCCTTGAGGGGAAGCTCGAAAGGGAAAGCCCAAAGAGGACAATATCTGCTAGCGGTGGATCTGGGTCGTTACAAATGGTATTAGAGCCAGACATCGGACTATGTGCCAGCCTTTTCGCTGTTCCCCAAAAAGGGGTAGACACGAGGCGGTGTGGCAGCAAGGACGCTGGCCCCAAAGGGGGGTGGATTTGGGGGCGGTCCCACATCGATTGGAGGAAGGAAAGAGTGCTAGCGAGAACGCTGGCCCCGAAGGGGGGGTGGATTGTGATGTCACACATTGGTTGGGGAGGAGAACAAACCATCATTTATAAAGGTATGGAAACCTTCCTAGCAGACGCGTTTTAAAGCCTTGAGGGGAAGCCCGAAAGTGAAAGTCCAAAGAGGACAATATCTACTAGCAGTGGATCAGGGTAGTTACAGTATCAAATGTATTGAATTTTAAAATTTTGACTAGAAAAAATTCTCCACCGATCAAGGGTAGGGGTTTGATATGACCCGAAAACCCGACTATGACTCGAAAACTCGTTTAACCCAAATCACATGGTTACAACACTCCCCAATAAAAAAAATAGAAGGTTAGGTTGTGAACTCTATCCAAGCTGTTCAGATCACTAATCCTACTAACCTGAAATTTTAAGTTGATCTCAAAGATTTCATCCACTCAACCCGACCCGACCCGACTCGTGTGATTAAAAAAGTATTAAAATTAATTATTATTATTAATTTTTGGGTATAAATGACAAAAAGAGGATGCAATTAAAAGAAAGGTACTTTCAATATGATTGAAGAGGCACCAAACAGACAAAGGGCAGCCAATTAGTGGAAGTAGTGGAGACCAATAAAGTGGCAGTGGGGCTCTGAATTTCAAATACGACACACAGTTCAGTGTGACGTGACAATATTATTTACTCGTCGCTTTCAAGAGTGTATACTATTATCTTCACAAATTAACACGAATTTTTTTAACATATTTTGTCTTCACTCAAATAAGTTAAACACGTTTAATTTTAGAGTTTTTATAATCGAGTCACTGAAAAAAAAAAAGTTTTATAATTGAGTGTTCGACGTGGCTTTATTCAAGTACTACTATTTAGGAGTCTTGTATTTTATTGTAACTACGCTTTAGCGAATATGAAATTGATAACGGGTGTGACTTACTTTGAGCACTATTTTAACGGTCCATACCTTAGAGATGTTAATATCAATCCGAGCAGCTAACTTGGGAGATACTTTCAATTAAGAAGTCAGATATTCGAATCTTCACCTGTTACACAGTTTGAATTTGAATTTATTCGTTATACGTAAAGAAGTCGCTCTCAAATTTACTTAATGTGGAAGGCATATGGTATTGGGCTATGTGTACCATTTTGGTTCCCTTCTCTTTTCTTCTCTTCAATAAGGAATACAAACTAAGCCTTTCAATATTCCCCTCATTGCCTCCACTCACTTTTCTTCCTCATATCTCATATAATATATATATATATAGACAAATATAAAGTTCGGTATAAATAAAGGGATTAGCGACTTACCCATTCAGTGGCTTTGGCACTGGACGTTTAAAAAATGGGGTACTATTGGGTCGGGTGACTTACCCATTCAGTGACTTTGGCACTGGACGTTTAAAAGATGGGGTACTACTGGGTCGGGTGACTTACCCATTCAGTGACTTTGGCACTGGACGTTTAAAAGATGGGTTACTACTGGGGTCGGGTGACTTACCCATTCAGTGACTTTGGCACTGGACGTTTAAAAGATGGGGTACTACTCGGTCGGGTGACTTACCCATTCAGTGACTTTGGCACTGGACGTTTAAAACATGGGGTACTACTGGGTCGGGTGACTTACCCATTCAGTGACTTTGGCACTGGACGTTTAAAAGATGGAGTACTACTGGGTCGGGTGTATCAATTCAATGACTTTGGCACTGGACGTTTAAAAAAATGAGGTACTACTGGGTTAGGTGAATTCATGTCTGTTGGCATTCCAGCCTTCCTTCTCCTTTCAAGGTCTACCCAAAAGAAAATGCAGTGTTTCTTAGTCGTGAATATCTGAATAGAACGAACCGTCCCGTGGTTAAGATTAATATATTATTCTAATTTTCATCCTTTTTTATATTTACTTTGTATTCTTAAAATATTTATCTTGTCTTTGTTTTAAACTTTTTTATATTATATCTAACAAGTTTTCGACTTTGAATATGTTAGTCTATTAAATACAAAATTACAAGTTCAAAAATATATTTGTCTTTTTAAAATTTAGGGATCGGCAAGACACAAACATGAAATAAATTTGTAATTTAACAATCAGTTCTTTATTTGACGCTAAAAGCAAGTTCGGGATATAGATGTCCATGTAACTTGCAAGGACCCGTTTAAGGTGGAGCATGAGAGAAATCGCTAAGAGATTTCTCACTTTAACTAAGGAGGGAGGGCGAGAGATTATACCAGATCTAACTCTTTGTAGCCACAGCCTCAACACTTCCATCGTAACTAGATCTAACTCTTTGTCGCGACAGCCACAACACTTCCATCGTAACTAGATCTAACCCTTTGTAGCCACAGCCATAACACTACCAAGTTGATCCCAAACAACGACGCTGAATCGGGTGACCAAAGATTTATCTTAAAACGCTCAAAAGCCCCAAAAGAACCTCTTGAAAATACAATCATGGAGCAGTAGGACCAGGTCCAAGTAGTAGTAGGTTGGGTGGCCTAATAATGGAGCCAATTGTACCGTTGAAAAAGCTAGAAAGAAATTTCCAAACAAGTGCTCGCTCTTTTCCTGTCCATACTTGCAACGTCCGAGATCCACCGCTAGTAGATATTGTCCTCTTTGGGATTTCCTTTCGAGCTTCCCCTCGAGGCTTTAAAACGTGTCGGCTAGGGGAAGGTTTCCACACCCTTATAAATAGTGGTTTGTTCTCCTCCCCAACCAATGTGGGACATCACAATCCACCCCCTTCGGGGCCCAGCGTCCTCGCTGGCACTCTTTCCTTCCTCCCATCGATGTGGGACTGCCCCCAAATCCACCCCTTTGGGGCCCAGCGTCCTTACTGGCACACCGCCTCGTGTCTACCCTCCTTCGGGGAACAACAAGAAGGCTAGCACATCGTCCAGTGTCTCTGACTCTGATACCATTTGTAACGACCCAGATCCACCGCTAGCAGATATTGTCTTCTTTGGGCTTTTCCTTTCGGGCTTCTCTCAAGGCTTTAAAACGCGTCGGCTAGGGGAAGGTTTCCACACCTTTATAAATGGTGGTTTGTTCTCCCCCCAACTAACGTGGGACATCACAATACTATACTATAATTCAAAAAACATTAGACAAGGCAACAGACCATGGAGCTGGAGGATTAGGAGCGGTGGTTGGACCTCAATTTTCAAATGGCAGGAGCGTTGCTTCCTCTGCACTAATGCCCCTCCACTTCCTATAATAATGGAGCAAAGGTCGTTGGGTGTTCCCCATCTCCCTGCTGCTGGTTCCTCCTCTTGTTGGGTTTTCTTTGCTTCTGCGAGGCCTCTCAAACCTCGCAGGAACAAAGAAACCCATCCTCAGCAGCTGAAAGAAAAACATATCATATCATAAAACATAACAATTACAGATATCAATCATGGGTGGTCTCCAGTCCTCTGTTAGAGCCAAGAGGCTTTGGAATGTTCTCAAGGTAACGCTTATTCTAATGGCAAGAAAGGGTCTGATCTCAAAGAGAAGGTTCATCATGGACATGAATTTGATGGTGAAGAGAGGTAAGCTGTTCAGAAAATCTTTCACCAGCTACTTCATGTTCCATCACCACCACCATGGCTCCAATGCTGGAGATATGACGTGTGGCGGTTTCGGCATACAGGACTACGAGTTTTCCTGCAGCAACACTCCCATTAATACTGTTTTTTCCCACATGTCAAAGCGCAGTGCCAAATACCACGCTTACTTCCCCTGTATCAACCTTCCTGTGGAGATGGAAACAAAGCAACAAGAAGAAGAAGAAGAAGAAGAAGAAGGTTCAGACCCAGAAGCCAGGGCGGCGTTTACTTTACTACCCATGACTCCTGAGAACACAGTAAATCACTTGCAGTATAATGCTTTAAGTCCTGCAATGGAGGGGGCAAGCCCACTCGTTTCCCCGTTCAACGTACGGATATCCAACTATTCGTCTGAGGAAGAAAATGAAATTAGCAGTGAAAGTGGACAAGTAGATAATCAGGCTGAGGAATTCATTAGAAGGTTCTATGAACAGCTGAGGACGCAACGACGCCTGCAACGACTGCAATATAGTTAATTTAAGCTAATTCATTCCCCTTGCTGTTGTGTGGTTTGAAGAAATTCTACATGTTATTCTTTCATCAGTTATGACAATATAATAAATCTGTGTATGGAAAAGGAAAAAAGACAGAACAGGTTGTTTATGTGTACAACTGAATGCAGTAAGCTATGCATAGAAATCGATACAAGAGCCTAATATGTTTCTCTACATTATTCAAGCAACTCGAACATACTTAGTAAGTTGATTGTACTAATAATCGGGTTGACTGTACCCACACCAACATTTGAAGGTAGTATCTGTAACACCCCAGATCCACCGCTAGCAGATATTGTCCTCGTTGGGCTTTTCCTTTCGGGCTTCCCCTCAAGGCTTTAAAACGCGTCTGCTAAGGGAAGGTTTCCACACTCTTATAAATGGTGGTTTGTTCTCCTCCCCAATCAATGTAGGACATCACAGTATCGGAGGGCATGATTGGAGGTTCCTTGCAACAACAAAGAGGTGGACTAGACATGGAATATTAGTTCAAGTCTTAAATTTGGCAGAGTTTCAATATGATAGAGAAAGTACCTCTCTCTCTTTTCTTTCATGTACATCTATCTTCTAATATAGAGAGAGGAGACTATTAGGATCACACTAGCCAATTGTTATTTGTCACACAGCTTGATGGAAGTTAATCGTTGCAACTCGACTATGATTTGTTGGAATGTAAGCGAGTCACGTGCACTACTTGAGACTTGCTATGACATTGTTAGTGGGTAGACGATAGGTTGGCGCAATAGAATATGATAGCACATAAACTATTTACTAGTCATGTCATTTGACACCCTAATGACTTTCTAACTCGGTTGGATTACAAGCTATGTCGCAATAGAGGATAGGTCGCTTCATACAAAACAAAGTAATCCAGAAAATGAATATCCAATCTCTGTCTCGCTTGGTTGGATTACAAGTTATGTCTCACCTAATAGTTTGTGGTGTCACCTAAAAAGGTTTTAGTCACCTAAACTATGACAAACCTAAATAATTTTGATCTCACCTAAGCAACAATCGTTTCGGGGTTGTGGCTTTTGATCTGACTTGGTTCGGCTACGTTTTCATGTATCCCTTATGTGGCCTAGCTAAACTGTGTTAGTAAGGTACGTCAACGTCTTAAAGACAAGCATTTAGGGTATCCAACCAGCAGAGGAAGAGATCCCCTTGTTCACCTAACTAACAGGAAGACTTGCAAGAAGTCCAACCATCTTCAAGTAATGCAACCAAAGAGAGCCTCTTATTCTTGATGTGTTAAGAAGTCACTGTTTCAATTAGCTGTAATCTCTGTCTCTATATATTTTACACAGCATTATTGGGTGATCTCCTGTGTGTGTCTGTGAGTTGGGGAATAAACAATCTCAATCAGGAAGACTTCAACGCAGGAAACGCGGATTTGATCTTTTCAATTTCTGATCAATGGAATGTACAAGAATTTCAATAATTCCTGTTTCCTTGTTTCTAACTTCTTGATTTGGTATTTTCTTTCTTTTATTTTTACCCCCTTTGGGAGATTACCGTAACGACCCAAGCCCACCGCTAGCAGATATTGTCTTCTTTAGGCTTTCCCTTCCGGGCTTCCCCTCAAGGATTTAAAATGCGTCTGTTAGGGGAAGGTTTCCATACCCTTATAAATGGTGTTTTGTTCTCTGTTCTCCTCCCCAACCAATGTGGGACATCACAGTCCACTCCCCTTCGGGGCCCAGCGTCCTCGCTGGCACTCGTTCTTTTCTCCAATCGATGTGGGACCGCCACCAAATCCACCCCCCTTTGGGACCCAGCGTCCTTACTGGCACACCGCCTCGTGTTTACCCCCCTTCGGGGAACAGCAAGAAGGTTGGTACATTGCCCGGTGTCTAGCTCTGATACCATTTGTAACGACCCAAGCCCACCACTAGCAGATATTGTCCTCTTTAGGCTTTCCCTTTCGGGCTTTCCCCTCAAGGCTTTAAAACACGTCTGCTAGGAAAAGGTTTCCACACTCTTATAAATGGTGTTTTTGTTCTCCTCCCCAATCAATGTGGGACATCACAATTACGATGAATAATTTGGAAAGAATTGAGTTCAAGATGGGCTCTTAAAACTAGTTGAAATGGTTCCAAAGAACCTTTGCAGACGTTAAATTCATATTCAACCACCTAAATTCTGCTACGCATGCTACCTCTATTACATGATTGCTAGGAGTTTTAGACAATTATCATGATAGACTTTTCTTATTCCAATTATCAAAGGTATAAATTTATTTATCTTTCAGTATAACTCTAAAAGAGAGGCATGGTTCCAAGATGTTCGGAAAGGAATCGTTACGAAAAATATTAACTTGCTTTACGAGAAAAGAATTGTTCTCCATAATATACAATATTGTCTTGTATAATTTCTATGTAAAAACATGCGTGGTAACTGGTATATTAAATTCTAACTACTATAGCTATAGAGAAAAGGCATTGGTTTAATACTCCAACCCAATTTTTCTTTTAATGCTACTCCTATTCAAAGGTTTTGGGAGAAACCTATGTTTGTGTTGACCACCACCTTCGGATCCTCATCATCCAACGAGATCTTACTCCAATCAGGCTTCCTCATCGAGAAAAACTTGGAGCGGTCGAACCCAGTTCCTCGAAAGCCGGTCATCCTTGATGACATCATAGGCATCACAAGTACTGCTGATGCACTGAGTGAATCTTCTCCAAAACCCAGAGAAAGTGCTAAAGCAGCCTGCAAAGAGAATAAGATGGCATATAGTTAAACCGTTCAAACATGTCGACCAAGTAAGCTTCTAAAATCACCAATGTTCGACTCCAATACCTTCGCCTTGGCTGCTACATCTGTAATCTTTAACAAGAATCCTTGTGAAAATGATCTTGCGTCCCTAGTCTCTAGTTCTTTGGATGACACAATTAGTCTGCAGATGGAAAAGATGCAACAGAATGGGTAAAGAGGGAGGTGCAGATCAAATGGCAGAAAGTCCCAGCACTTCATCTATAATAGATTTTTCATTGTACAATACTTTACGACATCCATAAAATAAACCGAAACAAGTACGCATTTTTAATAGCCCTGGCTTCTCACTGCTGAGAAATTCTAGTTTAGAACTAACATTGCCCCCACAAAGAAAAGGGTATAGTACCAGATATCTTCATTACAAACAGAAAGTGGTTTTGAACTCAGAATCAATGGAAAAAATAATGTCATATAAGCATGCAAAAAAATTGTTGTACCTCTCTTCTTCTGCTGAGAAGCTAGTGGACGTCCCAGATACCAAAGAATTATCTTTAAACTCACCGTCTGAAATTCATGTTCCAATCAAGCTCTCGCATTTGCAACGTAATCCAAAATTTAAATTCTAAATTAAAATACCTCTAGGCTCATCAGGAGCTAGCAAAGAAATGCCTATGAAAACCGACATCATTCCTAGTATGAACATCGTCGTTCTCAAAGCATCAAGCACCTGAATAGAAGAGATAATACAAAGGCAAGCTTATTACCTAAACTGAAATCATGCTTGAGGCATGTACAGAATTTAAGGGCAACAGGCAGCATGACATTGAAATCAAAGGTTAAAAAAGCGCATGGTTAGAAAATTATCACTTTTTTACCGCTTAATACAAAGAGTGAAATGGGACTATTTTCAAAATATATGATCAATACCATAGTTATTGTGTCATGAAAGAGGACAAAAATAAAGATAACTGGGTTACTTGTTGACTCATACAAGAAATATGAATCTCATTCCTGAGAAGTTAAGAAGGTAATAACCAGAGAACTCATCTCAGCCCACAAAATGCTACAAACTTGTTTAAAAGATTGCTAGTCCCCAGGAAACCACTACAATTTATGATCTAAGCCGATTGACATAGCTTTGATCCAATGCTATACAAACCATTTTCCTAAGAACATGCATACACTATTTAGTAGGTTCAGTATATCATAACCAGTGTCATTCAAGCACACGGTTCTTTTCATGTATTCCTCTCCCCCCCCCCCCCCCCCCCCCCCC